GACTTGAAACTATACTACAAAGCTACTGTGATAAAAACAACATGGTACTGGCAAAGAAAGAGAACTGAGGACCAGTGGAACAGATTATAAGATGCAGAAATAACTCCTGATACACTTAGCCACCTCATCTTTGACAAAGGAGCCAAACACCCTCACTGGAGGAAAGATAGCCTCTTTAATAAGTGGCACTGGAAAAATTGGGTTTCAACTTGCCAACAATTAAAACTAGACCTATATCTCTCACCATGCACTAAACTAAAATCTAAATGAAGTGAAGATCTAAATGTTAAAACAGAAACACTAAACCTGCTGTAAGAGAGGTTATATAGAACTCTTGAAGACATTGGTGCAGGAAAATATTTTATGAAAAATACCTCAGGTGCCCATGAACTAGCACAAATAATCAACAAGTGGGATCTCTTCTTACTAAAAAGCTTCTGCACAGCAAAAGAAACCACCAACAGTGCGAAAAGACAATCCACAATGTGGGAAAATATTTTCACCTGCTGTTCCTCAGACAAAGGTCTACTATCTGGAATCTATAAAGAATTTTTAAAAATCAGACCTCCCAAATTTAAGACCCAATCCATAAATGAACACCTGAAATGAACAGACATTTCTCAGACAAAAAAGTAGAAATAGCAAATAAACAAATGAAAAAATGTTCAACATCACTGGTTATTTGAGAGATGCAAATGAAAACAATGTCTGAGATTCTACCTCACCCCAGAAAGAATGGCTGCTATCATGAAATCAACTGATAACAAATGCTGGCAGGGTGTGGGGAAAGCAGAACATTGTTCCATTGCTAGTGGGAGTGTAGACTGGTGCAACCAGTGTGGAAATCAGTATGGGGATACCTCTAAGAACTAGGACTTGACATCTCATTTGACTCAGGTATTCCCCTGCTGGGTATCTTCCCCAAAGAATTAAAAGAATCATACCACAGTGATATATGTGCATCCATGTTCATAGCAGGACAGTTTGCAATAGCTAAAACTTGGGAACAGCCCAAATGCCCATCAACTGGAGTCTGGATAAAGAAAATGTGTTTTTGTCAATAAAATGGAGTACTACTCAGCCATAAAAAATGAAAAATTAGAGACTTTTAAAGCTAAATGGATGCACATTGAGGCGATACTCTTAAGTGAAATAAATAGGACACACGTGTAAATACTGAATAGCTTCTCTAGCGTGAGAAACTGAAAGCGTCAATAAGGACTCAAAGGTATAATAGGTAATGTGAAACAGGAAGAAAAGGGGCAAAGGGAAAGGGGAAGTGGGAGGGGTAAGGGAAAAAAAGAAGGGAATGGAATTAATATGAGAAAATGAAAAAATGGAAACAGTCTTTGTAAATAGGGAGGGTAGGGGAAGGGAGAAAAAATAAGAACCAAGTTGGATTATGTAAACGTGCAAATTTCCAATGATGAATGTCATTATATTGTATACCTAAAATGTACCAATAAAATAAAATTTTAAAAAATACAGTATACCAAATTCCAGGAGTGTTTGATGAGAAAAGGAAAACTTCTTCCCTTCTAGGAGAAAAAAAAACTATAGGTACAAAATTACACATATGTATATTCTGTACAATTTAATATGAACCTTTGACAAATTGATCACAATAGTATGCTTGAATAGCCAAATCTTATCTACTCTGTAGTGTTATTTTTAATATTTCTAATTTTTGCATTGTCTCTCTGGGCACATTGAAACAATCTTTTGTTTAAGAATCATATATTTATCCCTGTAGTACCAGCTACTTATTAGGCTAATGCAGGAGGATCACTTGAGTCTAGTACATAGTTCCAGGCTAGCCTGGGCAATATAGTTAGACTCAATTCAAATAAATAAATAAATAATCCACTCTTGCCTCCCTTATAAAAAAACTATATTTGAATTTTATCTTAGTGAAAGCACCAAAATTAGAGAAGCTTTCAACACAAAGTAGTCCTTCAATATATATTTTATGATTGAATCATAGAAGCAATCTAAAGAAGCACAAAAATCTTAATATAAACATGACCAAAATTTGGCTCAGTGGGATGAGGAAGAAACAAAATTTCTTCTGTGAAGTGGAATTTGTTGAGCTTACTGCTTTCTCATTCTAAACTCCATCCTCCAAAATTTTGAGTGGCTCCTTTCTGTCTCTCTGTGTATTTACATTTGTTTCCTTCACTGGACACTCCATTCTCTGAATCAGTAACTGCATCTTGTTCACCTTGGTTCTATCATACTCTTCTCAGTGATACGCAAATAGCAAACATTCCATTAGCAATTATTTAGGCTTGACTCAACCCTAGTGCTAGTGGCTCATATGCATGCCTGGTTTCTTTCCAAATTCAGGAAATCCCTAAACATTTGCCTCTTTTTCTTTTTAGCTTTTTCCAAGCATCTTTTGGGTACAGTTTCAGGTTAACTGATTTGGGATATGGAGAAGTACAAAATCTCCCTAAGGCAGAACATTTTGCTAAGGCAAAATCCTTCCTAGGCATCAGATGAATGGAATAGTGCTTTGGTACAAAACAAATCAATCATTTTATTTCATCTTGAACTTGTGGACACTTTCAGGTTACAGCCTGTGGCTTTCTTCCTCCCTTGATTTCTATGGAAGAAACTGCCACAGCTTGTCCTTCATCTTTTCTGAAGTCTTTTTCTTTGGCTGCAGGTAGGATTTTGCCTACACAATCACAATTCTTGCTCTCCACTGTTTGCAGGGAAGACTTAGCCAACTCTACCCTCTTCAGGAGATTCATCTTGGGCTGCTTCCTTTGATTTGTGTATGTGCTGCCGAAGCGAGCACTGCTTCCTTTGATTTGAATAAGCTATGGGAGCATTTCTGTTTTCATCTTCTTGCAAGGAATTTAGGTGATCAGGTTTCAGTTTTATAGCTAAACCAGCTGTCATTCAGACAAACCTTCAAGAGATGCACAGAATAACTCCAGCTGTTTCACGGTAGTGGAGATCCTGAGGTTCCAGTTAACTAAACCCCTGAGGGGATCAGAGAGACTCTCAAAGGAAACAGCAATGAGCACATGGTGATTTTTAGCTATCTGTTTGTTTATATCTTATAGAATTGACTTCCTATAGTTTTTTAGCTAACTTCAGTCACAGATAATGAAGGGGTAAGGTGATGAGTCAGAAAAAGAAGAGCAGGAAATAAATAATTAAAGGAGCAAAAGAATCTTGGGTGCAGTGTTAGCAAATTCCCCAGCAAGAATCACATATGTGTGCTCAAATCCTTTTCAGGTTGAAGATGAATAAATCTTCAGTAGATTGACTAAATAAAAGTATAGGGATGGTCCTTAGACAAAAAAGTTAGTTGTTTCAAAGGTCACCATCCTGGAGTAGATTACTCTTGCCCAAAGAAAGAAGAATAAAGGAGTCTAGAACATAATTCTTTGTAGTTCCATGGATTCTTAGTTTACTCTTCCATCTCAGCAGGAGACACAGTAGTGTGTCTTCCTCTTTGAAGAGTTCTTTTTATTTACTCCTTTCAGGTAAAGCTATGTGTTCCAGAATATGGTCAGTTCCTCTCAAGGTAAGTGCCTTTGTTTTACAGGTTCCCAGAGAATCCACAAATAAACCCAATGTATTACTAGCTTCCCTCAGAAGCCAGAGAATCTGAAGCTTCACAAAATAGAAAAGTACAAAAGACCCTCTGGAACACTAGTGTAGCCTCATGCTCAGCAGATTTGGTTACTCAACAATAGAAATCCAGGGGGAACTGGCTGGAGAGAGAATTTTGCCTTCTCCCATGGCCTCCCTGCCACCAAATATGGCCATGTCCTAGGAAGGCAACAAGACATCAAGAAAGATATTCCATTGAAAATTTATCTTTGTTTTCAAGTCAGAATCTTAACCAATCAAACAATCACAGAAAATGTTTACAGATTAAACAAACAGGTTTATTATCTGTAACACTAACAGAGAGCGCTGGTGACTAAAGAAAAGGATTTAAATCACCTGACCCACCCAGACTATCCTGGAATTGTGAGAATTGTGAGAGTTCTTATTTTACCACATTTCATCTAAGAATGATTGGGAAGAAAAGTGACTTGGTTGAAATATAATTTGTAAGGAACGCACAGACCAAACCAAAACAGGAAATTAATGAGATTAATTTTCTCACCTTCAAGTGATTGTTGCAGATGTTTTCACAAGTCTCGGGACATCTGCTCTTCATCAATTCTAGCAAATACATGGTGTCACCATAGAGCTCAATATTACCTTTGTATTTATAACCTGGCAGTTTTCAACTTTTTTTCCCTTCCTGCTTTGCTTCTGCAATTTTTAATTCACAAGGAATTAATTATCCCAGGCATATTTTGTTCTATGGTGGTCGAGATGAACTCCTTTAATTCAAGGCATCAAAGATGAAGAAATTCATGGTCCGCTACAAGCAGAAAAAGATGCAAAGGACTTTTATTAACCATCTATTTTATTTGAGGTTTTTGTTTTCTCTTTTATTAAATCTGATATTTATTTGCTGAAACAAATTAAGCACTTGGCAATTAACTTGGACCACATATCCATTCATTCCTGGAAACAATTTAAGGAAGCAAGGATTGTTTGTTAAATCAGTCCTCAACTTACTAGTTGTCTTAGACTTCAAGGAAATGGTTGGGATGGCTTCTAATAATAATTCCATCTTTGAAATTCCTTAATATTCAGATACTGAAAAAATGTTTTTAAATTGAAGATCTGTTATTTAAAAACAATTAAAATCACAGATATTAGAAAATTTTATTTGCAGATTTTCATAGGAAGTTCACACCTAACTTTACAAACTCAAAATACTATAAAGAACATTAAAAATCTGAGTCCAAGAAACAAAACTTTAACTTATCAAATGAAAAAAGGATTTGACACAAGGAATGTAAATATATAAGAGAAATTTTTACCTTTTCTTTTTGTGATTTAAGTAAAAATACTAAGAATGAGGAAAGAAGTATGTCTATGTGTTGACATGTAAATATAATTGCAAATGTGTCCCCTTGTTTAAATTACCTAATATGAATAAGTGCTTTTGTCTTCCAGGTTTGTGTGGGATCTCTTAGGTCAAATGTCAGCTCTGTCCTCAAAATGGCCTCTTAAAATCCTGTCTCCCCTTCCTCCAAGAGCAGGTGCATGAAATAAACCAGCAGGCAGTCAATTTGAAATTGCATTTGTGAGTCCTAAATCATGACATTCAGTCTTGAAGAGAAAGAAGAAAGCACAGATGTCTTTTCACCAAAGGACCTATCTCTGTGGAAAAAAAGAAAGGGGGAGGAAGGCAGGAAATCTCAGAGACACAACACATTCCTGGTTGCTCCAGCTGAGCAATCCCACAGACCTTCTTTGTATCTCACAGAATGGAGACCAGACTCTCACAGGCATCCTGGCCAGGATCGGGGCTGCACATCCTCAGTTCTCTGCGTTCACCCTGGTCTCCTGAAATGACAAAACATTCACATCATTTTATGTCTGATCATTATGAATCTCATTTCCTGGGTAAGCAGGGAAACATTTTATGCTGTCAAGAGAGGAAGAAGGAAATCCTGCTGAGGTGTGCAGGTGGGCCTCTCTGGGACCATGCCCTAGCCAGCAGTATCCAGCACTGTGTTCCTTCTGTATACTCCAATTCTCACCTCTTGTGTATCCTCAGATAAGCTCAGCAAGCTCCCTAGAGTGAACATTTGAACAACCTTTAAAGGAAGCTAGTTATAGAAATAGAAATGCAATTTAAACATCAAGGTTGCAGACCTGCATATTCTTCCATCTTAAAATGTAAACTTCAGGATATTTTCTACATTATGCTGCTGGTTTCTGTTTTATTTTAGCTTTTTCCAATATGTTTTATCTTTTTGAAAAATACCAGAAAACAAAATGAAAATAAAAGTCACATGGAACCTTTGCTCTTTTTTAAAGAACACAATCTAAAAGGGAAAGCCTCACTCTACCAATCCCATCCACCAAAGTTACATTGCCAACATTTGATTCTTAGCTTTCCAGGTGTTTTATTTCTTTTGTATAAAAATATTTGTGTGTGTGTATATATATATATGTATGGATGCATATACATCTCTTAATAAATGCTCATATTCACATATACTTCACATAATTTCATATTTTATCTGAAACCTATTTTATTTAACAAATATTAAGAGAATATTTTTATAATCTCAGCTCTTATACAAGGCATCAAGTTTTAGACTAATCTTCAAAACTGGGAAAGATTTGAATTCCTAATAACTTACTACAGTGCTTCAGCCACTTAGCTGTTTTCAGGATTTGAAACAGTAAGAACAATTTTGAACACAGAAAGATACACACATATTTAGAGAAGCAAACCTAACACAAGTAAGCCTTAAAGGCCAAGAGGCTTGCCAGGAAACAGTATGTGCAGAATCTTTAGAAAAGTTTTATTTTCATAATCCATTCTAATAAAAATACACATTTATACTTTACTATTTAAACAATAGTTTTCACAAAGGAATATGTTTCAATAGCTATCTAAGAAGAAAGGTGCACTTAAGTTATCTAATATTTTTTCCACCAGAACTTGTCAGACAATTAGAAACTGATGTCTAAATTTGCTTCATTTAATAACAGTTCACAATTTTTTTTCTTGAAAGCTAAAAAAAATCAATTATTTGCTCTTAAAAAATCTTATAGCACTTTTTCTTAATTTAAAAAAGAGATAAACAAATTCTGCTCCATTAGACAATGCAATATTATTCAGTTATAAAATGAAATGTACTCTGAAGCCGTTAAAATGCAAATTGTTAAATGAGAGAAGCAAGTCTGCAAAGCTACATGCTGTACCATTTCAACTACATGATATTTTAGAAAAGGAAAAACTGTTCACACATTAAAACTGTCAGTGATTGCCAGGGAATCAGAAGTGAGGAGAAAGGGTAAGAAGGTAAGTAGGCATAATACATGGTATTTTTAGGGCACCGAAGCTATTCTTTATGATACTTGGATGGTGGTTATGGGACATCATGCATTTGTCAAAACTCATGGAATGTACAACACAAGGAATAAACTCGTCAGGAATATCTGTGTTTTTAATTAGCAGCAATCTGTTGGAGTTATACTTTAAATCTAAAATGTCCCCCAAAAGTCTTATGTGTTTGGAAGGTGGCTGGATTATGGAGCTCTACCCTCTTCAACATATTCATTCACTGATGAGTATGATAACTGACTTTTACCGTTCAAAGGTAGGGCCTGGTTGGAAGGGGGTTACAGGGGCCTGTGACCTGGAGCATGTGTTCTTCTCTGCAGCTCCTCCATTCTCTGTCTGGCTCCTAGTTGCCATGAGGTGAACAGCTTCCCTCTGCCCTGCCTGTTCACAGTGACATTTCTACCTTGGAGCCAGCTGAACATGTGTGGACTGAAACTGTGAGCCAAAGTGGGTGTTAGGTATTTTGCCCCAGGGATGAGAAAGTAATTAAGGCAATTGGTTATTCACTTTTAGTTAAGTGTACCACACTAATCAAGATGTTAATGATAAAAGAAACTGTGTATGTGGAGGGGGATTAATAGGCAAACTCTCTTTGCTTTCTATCCAAGTTTTCTGTGAACTTAAAGCACACTGAAAAATATAATATATTAATTTAAAAATGAAAGAAATAGAAAAGCAGCTTTAAGGTGAAGTGCTGGATTTCTGCAAGCACATTGCTCACTATTATTTGCAATAAATAAATCATTCCCCCACTTTTAATTCTCTAATTGAACTATTGATTATCTATTTTCTATCAAATTTTTTTATAATAGTTTATTTTTATGGGGAAGTGTTAGTGATTGAATGCAAGGTCTTTCACACGCTAAATGCATTCTGTACCACTGAGCTACATCCTCAGCCCTACTATAATAATTTTTAAAAATAGTTCTCTTTGGGATTATCTTTTTTTTTTTTAGTGACATTGAATTCTTTATTTAATAAAATTTTTTTGAATGCACAGTACTGCCTCTTCCATTTTTAGGACGAAGTATTAACAAGTTTCAAATATTTCAATTCTTAAAAATCATATGTTTTTTAAAATAAGACTTGATTACCAGAAACAATATCATGTTACAGTTTTCATATCACTACTCATTTCCATTGTTTGCCAATTTATCTTTGATGCAATCAGGGAACAATTAAGCTTAGTCACTATATACCTATTTTAGAATCTGAAGAAATTATCCATCACAGGTATCTAATGATATATATATATTCATGTGTATTTAAAATTCAGAAGGGAAAAAGTAGTAAACTACTCTAGTTATTTATGACAAATATTTATGTATTCAAAACAATAAGAATTAAGACTTCCAGGTGAACTGACTATATAAAAACTATTTGCAACACATTCTTCTGTAGATTAAAAATGCTTTATTTCCCTGCTTGCTAAAAGGTGGAATTACACATTGGAAATTCTTTAGAAGTGAGTAATTCATTAAAAGAACAGCCACAAAACTTATTTTTTTAAAATTTACCATAAAAAACTCAATCTTTCTCTTCAAAACTTACAGCATTAATCCCTACTTGACCAAAAAAAATTTTTCTTTGAGGCAGGGTCTCACTACATAGTTCAAGCTGGCCCTGAACTCACTATGTAGCCTAGGCTGGTTGCAGCAATCCTGCCTCCTCCCAAATGCTGGGATTACAAGCATGCACCACCACGCTCAGCAGCAAAAAATTTTGAAAGGGCACCAAGTTCATGATCTAGACATGCATAAATAAAGACTTGAATGTATCACTGTCTTAACCAAATTTGGCAAACCAGAAGAACAGCCTGAAAGAAAGAAAGAAAGAAAGAAAGAAAGAAAGAAAGAAAGAAAGAAAGAAAGAAAGAAAATTCTTATCTTCTATGTTTGAAAACACGATTCTGTAGGCCTATTGCCCTATAAAAGGAATGCAAGAAAAGGGGAAGTAGCATATTCTTATGTACATTTTTTGGTATTCTGGTTGTCTTTCAACAACTCGTTACAGAGAAATATTTTTTATTTGAAGCCATAAATTGCCCTCTGCACAGCAATGAAATGTCTTACGATTTTTAATAATGTACTTTACATATAAATAATTAAGTTTAAGTGCAAAAGAGTTTTCAGTGACTCCTAAATTTAAGGGCATAATGTTAATCTGATTATGAATTTTGAATGGTTGGTGCTTTTCTTTCAACCGTAAAATGATTTTCTTCTCTTTAAACCTTAAAATGTACCAAAATTATTTGGTTTTTTTCCTCTATATTCCTACATTTCTATTTTATGATATTTGTATCTAGAGAGGTGTGTTTAAAATATTATTATAAAAAAACACAACTGAGGCTTTATATGATCTATTAATCCATAGTATAGCAGTGCTAATCTTTGATCTGGTGTATCAATCAATATCTTTGATGAATAAATGTCACAGGTCATTTCTTTATAAGAGGATTTAGTGAGAGGACTAGCAATATGGAGAGAGATTTCCTTCTACCCCCATCCTAGAAATATGCATATTAAAGGCAGTTAAAAACTAAAAATATTTCAAAGATTTTCTGTCAAGGTTAAACAGGGTAACTAACAAAACCGACAGAGAAAATTGTGAAAACTTACATATGTCTAGTTAACATAGAACAAAAATGTTTATAATTTTTAAAAAGCATTAGTTGCTAATGAGCAGTATGCAGAGTGTTCACAATTTGGTGGCTGGCCATGGTTTTAATTTTTTTCTTCAAGTTATTTCTATAGCAGACATATTTTTGAAGTCTACCCACCCCTGAGTTCAGCAATTATACTTTGAGTGTAAAATTGTATGCCCTTGACAACATGTAAAAAGCTACAAAATGCCACCTACACAGAGATTAAAAACAATTTTTAAATATTCTTTACCAATTATTGATTGGATGGTTTTACTGGGATACATATTTCAGACCTTCAGCTAACTGGCTTTTATTTTTAAGCCCAAATCGATTAATATATTCACAGCCAGCTATTTCAAAAAAGAGTGTAATGGTAAGGCATTAGTAAAAATAACATTAGTAGAAACAGATTTTGCATATGTGAAGAGGTAATTTATGAAATACATTAATCGCTTTTTAAAAAGAGAACCTAGTTGTATCACTACCTAACATGGTACTGAGAATGGGATCTTTGAACATTTTTTTATAGAAAAATTTTATCTAGATGGAACCAAAGTCTTTTTAACAAGAAAACAAAAATAAAACCAATCCTTGTAGGAAAAACTGTATGGCTGTGTGAGACAAATAAGCAAACATAACATTTTATAGTGTATTTTGCCAAAATTTTAAAATAAAAATGCCCACACTCTTTTGTTAAAACATTAAGCCTCTGTCAAAAATGTATTTCTTATTTTAGGATACAGGATTGAAGGACAAGATGATACTTACAAGTAAAGAAAATTTACAAGAAGAAAACTTGACAAAAGTTTTTCAATTAAATTAGTGTAACACTCAAACTTG